GGGCAACAGGTAGTTGTTTCTAACACCACAGGGTGACCAGCATCAGCAAGTCACCCTTGAACTTGCTTCCTCTACTCTTTCGTTTCAGTCCTCTACTTCCTCATTTATAATTAAATGTTGGTACATAAGCTTTTACATCGGGTTTTATTGGGAGAACCCAGGCTAATGAAACCACTGAAGTTGCCAAAAGCAAGTGATAGAGAGAACTCAGCCTAAGACATAAAGGCATTCTCTGCCACTTGGAAGATAAAAATATGCCAATTAACACATATTTTGTATGTTATATGTATTATATACTACACTCTTATAATAAAGTAAGAAAGAAAAAAAAAGTGAAGATAATCACGAGGAAGAGAAAATACTTTGCAGTATTTATTGAGAAACATCTGAATAAAAGTAGACCCATGCAGTTCAAATCCGTGTTGTTCAAGGGCCAGCTGTATTTGGCTCATGTTTGTCTTACCAGCACCTAGCTCGGTGCGAGGGACATTGTAAGTGATGAGTAAACGATGACAATAATGGTATAGGCGGCCCCTCAGACGTCCAGCCAAAGCAGATCCAAGTCTAGGCCTTCATAACCCAAAGCTTCCCTGAGAACATGTCCAACAGAATGATTGCATCTGTTCCCCAAACATGTGTGTAATACATTCAGGGACTAGCTGTTTATTAGAGTGAAAATCGCAGACAGCCAGAAATATGGCAGATAAATTGTGATCAATGTATACAATGTAATGCTGTAAAACTATTAAAATTAATGAAATAGGGCTGCATGGAACACCCTGAATGAACCTCACATAGTGAGTGAAAAAAGGTAAGTAAGTATTTTTGAAGATGACAGTTGCTAAATTTAAAATATCTAACTAACTGCAATGTAATCGANCTGCGATGTAATCGATCTCTCTCAACCCCTATATTTTAAATATTCTGCCGAAACCTTGCTTTATTCTACATTTTGCCTACAAGTCCTGATGATGGAATATGCATTCATTTCCTCTTACTCAGAGTAGCTCACACACCATATTAAAAGTGTGTGCTCCAGGCAGGCAGTTGGCAGAGGTTCTCGCTTCCTGGGCAGAATGGGCTCTCTTGGGAGGGAGTCATAGGGGCATTTGAAGATGAGAAGGATGCCCTGGAGCATGTCTGTGTATCTTGTGTGGCTACTGGATGAGATGACTCCTCGGGGCCCTTTAAACTCAGCTATTTTATTATTGTTGAGGCTTTCATGCAGATCTCTCCTTGTCAAGCACCCTCTTCAGGGCAGCTTTGACGTCTCTGTTCCTCAGACTATAGATCAGGGGGTTAAGCATGGGGTTGAAAAGGCTGTGGAACAGGAGGAGATATTTCTTCTGCTCCATGGGGTCCCCATGTCGGGGCCCAACATACATGACAATGGCTGTGCCATAAAAGAGCCCAACCACGCAGAGGTGGGACGAGCAGGTGGAGAAGACTTTCTGGCGCCCGGCCCCTGACCGGATCTTCAGGATGGCCCGGAGAATGTGAACGTAGGAAGCCACGATGGAGGACAGCGGTCCCACCAGCACAGACGCTGCCCCAGCCAAAACCACAATCTCATTAATGTGGGTGTCCGCACAGGCAAGCTTGAGAAGAGCTGTAATCTCGCAGAAAAAGTGATTCACTTTCTGGGGCCCACAGAAGGGCAACGGTAAGAGTAACACTGTATGTGCCAGGGCCAGGAGGACCCCTAACGTCCAGGAAGCCACTGCCAGGTTGATGCAGACTCTCCAGCTCACGAGGACAGCATATCGGAGGGGGTGGCAGATGGCCACATACCGGTCATAGGACATCACCACCAGGAGAAGACATTCAGTGTGAGCAAAGCTCAAGAAGAGGAAGGTCTGTGTCACGCAGCCAGCAAAGGAGATGGGTTTGGCTGGGCTCAGGAGGTTTACCAGCATCTGGGGCACCGTGTTGCAGGCGTAGGACATGTCGACGACAGCCAGGTGTGAGAGGAAGAAGTACATGGGGGTGTGCAGGCGGGAGTCCAGCCAGACGAGCCCCAGGATGACCCCGTTGCCCAGCAGGGTGAAGGCGTAGAACAGGGAGAAGAGCCCGAAGAGGAGCATCTGAGTCCCTGGGCTCAGGGGAAACCCCAGCAGGAGGAACTCGGTGACAGAAGTCTGGTTTCCCCCCATTTCCCTGGGAGAGAGACAAGGGAGCTCAGCACGTCTGAAGGCCTGAGGGACGCGTTCCACACGGGGGATCTGTGTGTCACTGCCTCCTTCCTCAGAAAACATCTCCAATGACATTTGTCCCTTGCTAAGTGAATACTACACATTGCAAATGACACAGGATTTTTTCACCGTGACAAGCTAAGCGCTAGTATCCTCTGACAGCATTCGGGAACCTTACCTGTATTTCCAAACCTTGACCACAGTTCAAAACACGTTGATCCTCCACCTGCCTTCACAGCAGTGGACGCTCCCCGGTCGGTGTGGCCACGTCTGAGGTTCGCCCAAGTGTGTTCCCGCATCGCGGTGCACACAGAGCCACGGGGGACAGTGTGGCCTGTGGCCTTGCATCTGTATCTGCACGAGGAGCACGTCAGAGACCCTCCCATCAGGTGACCTCACAAATTTGTGCCTCCATTACATGGATTTCTTGTTAGCCTTGTGGTCTTTACCGGCGGCATAATCTTNTCCCATCAGGTGACCTCACAAATTTGTGCCTCCGTTACATGGATTTCTTGTTAGCCTTGTGGTCTTTACCGGCGGCATAATCTTGAATTATGTCGAGAGAAGGGCGGGCAGACCGCCACACCTTTAGCTAAATTTAAAAGAAAGAACCTTGTCTTCTGACTTTTGTACCCACAGATGGTCTACTCTGATCGTGCTGTGTTGTGATCAGATGTTACCTGCCACCTATTAGCCTCTAATAAATATTTATATTCTACATCTGCATGTGTGTGCATGATGTATATGTTAGAGAATTATATGTATGTCCACATTCTCTTGAATCCTTATTATGTGCAAGTGTGCAAGGTACTGGGTATTTTCTATATTATTTCCTACTCTATTTCATCAGTAAAAATGCTGGTTGAATTTCTTGATGGGTCATAGCCTGAGATTTTTTTTTAAATCCTGATCAATATCCAAGACCAGAGCTAAAGCCCTACCTATATACTCCTGTTCATAGAACCTTCAACGTGTTTTATAGCTTAACTCTAATATAAAGATATCATTTGTCATGAATCTTTACTTTTTTGCAGCTTATCAATTATTTGAAAGCACTTCTACCACGTGGGTGTTCTGAACTTTGACTTGTAATTAAACCATCGCTTCTGCTTCCTTGTCTGTCTGATTACACATCCTTCTCAATCCGGAATCCATCTGAAGTTCACTAAAATAAGAATCCCAGAAAACTCATAACCGAGTTCCTATCTATCAGTCACCCATTCAAATTTTCTGATATGTTAATATCTGCAAGGTTTTATAAGCAAAAGTGTGAAGGTTTTACCCTGTTTCAAAGGCAGAATCAGAATTCACAGTAGAAATATTGGGAGATGACTTCATCTTAGTCCAAGAAATAACTTTTTAACAACTGGAATCACCTCCTTGAAGGAAACTGGTTGTTTTATTAGGACTGAACTTCATGTCAGTGAATGTTTTAAATCAGAGATGGATTAACCATCAATAGATGGTTACTTCTAGGTGGGATTCCCACGTTACGTGAGAACTTGAACAAGAATGCTGAGGTCTCTTCCAACTATAGGATTCATTGGCCCTAAATGTACAGAAAAGTGTTACCCATTTTTATTTCAGCTTTCTAGCAGCATCTGTGGCCAATGGAGACAACAATATTATTTCTAAAATGTTATGTGATGAAGAAACACAATAAACTAAATTAGAAAGACCAATGAGTGTCATCTCACCTTCCTTCTATCTGCAAGTAGTTAAAACACAACACATAAAATCCACAGGCACTTGCTAAACATATTCAATGTCCTGCCACAGGTCTTGACTGAGTACATACAGGACAATTCCTATCTGCTGGCGTATAGAACCTGCTTGGAATGACAAGACTGTTAAAAGAACTTGAAAGGTGATAGTTCTCATATTAAATAACACATCAAATAGAAGTTCACTTTCAAAAATAAAACCTTCAGGACACTCTTCTGTAACAATCTCATTTGTGGTCAATTAGGACCATTGTTTCATAAAAACATGACTTAATTTCATGGGACAATGGAAAGATTTTCAAGCAAATCTCTCCAACAGCTATCTTATATAATTTAAACATGAAGTTCAACACTAAATGCATCCAAGTAAAAAAAATCCATATTCTGTGTATTTAAAAGAGATGATAACCTTTAAAGTATCCTATTAGGTAAGTCCATAAATAGCAGACATCTGGCATTGCCAGACAATAACAATTCCATTTGCATTGTGATTTTTCATTAGAGCGTCTCTGAAATTGTATCATGAAAAAAGACTGAATAACATGAGAAACTTACCACAGACTTACAGCTNATTGTATCATGAAAAAAGACTGGATAACATGAGAAACTTACCACAGACGTACAGCTAAAAACGAGAAGACAAGGGGAATGTGAGTTAGGGTAAACAAAAGTACCCCAATAAAGTGAGTAGCATCTGTGAGTTAGTGTTGAAATTCCTGTCCCAGAAGGATCTCTTAGGAGAAAGGTGCCCTTACAGAAGCAACAGGATTCCGCCCAGAAGAGATTTGCTCTCTGCTTAGCTCCACCACCTCTCAGTAGACTCTGAGTGCCTGGTGTCAGGCAGATGAAGACCCACCAGGCACACTGCCATCTGCTTCCTTCCAGGGACAAGGGGTTCTCCAGGGACTTGTCTCTGGTTTTCTCCAGAGGGACATTTCCGACAAGATGGTGATGTTGATGATTCTTTCACTCTCTGTGGGTCCATGACCATCCACTTAGAAGCACCAGAATGATTTCTGGGCTCCTTCCTAAGTTACAATACCACACACTTGGGTTTATTATAGCTTCAAGAACTCCAACATTCCCCACCTACTAACCCCCCAAAAAGAGCAAGTGGCAAACAGGGCAGATGGAACCATCCACGTTTCCCATCCTGTCTAGCACTGGCTGAGTTGTAGGTTACGTCTGCCCATAACATGTGTCCTATATTTTTTTTTCCCATCAACTCATAAAGTAAGACCAGGTAGCAGGAGCTCTGGAAGCCATGGGGACCATGTGAAGGAGTCAGGAACGGGGTAAGCCATCCCAAGGGGACTTGTTAAATCCTGTTTGGTAGGATTTAAATGAGGAGCCAAAGGGAAGGGAAACTCTCACCAGGAAACACTCTCTAGTCTATCATTTCCAGAGACTCTGAGTCAAGGGAGAAAGAAATACCAAGTTTCCCCGAGGACTGTAACTCCAACTGTTACTCTCCCTTTCCTGAAATGGGAATAACCTCCTTCTACAATTCTGGGGGATGCAACTGAGACAATTTGTGGTGCCTTTGTGATTTAAATGTCTCCTTTATTCTTTTATCTACATCTATTCTTATACTCAAATGTGGAGGCCATAGGAGATAATTTCCTAAATTAAAGTTATGAGAGTGTACATGCCAACTAAGAGAATAACTGCATGACTGTTTTTTTACCTCGAGAGCACTGACCTGCGGTAGACCTGAAATGGGCTTTTCCCCATTAAATCCACTCAGTAAGGGGCTCATCGGTGACTGGAGTCCAGATTACACCCTCACATATTTGAAAGATATTACTATGATCATTTTTAAATCTCTACTTTTTGATCATATAACTTTTTATTCCTAACATTTTTAATACAGACCTTTTCCCTTTTTAGGCGTTCATCTTACCTATTTTATTGGCGTTTGTAAAAAACCTAGGTTTATATTTTAATGATCTTCATAATTTTTTTATTTTTGTCAATAAAGTTTGCTCTTGTCCCACCGGGCAAGTTTGAGCATCAAACTAGGATCCAGGAGATCGCGGTTCGATTCCCCGTCAGGGCACGTGCCCGGGTTTCTGAGCTCGATCCCCAGTAGGGGGTGTGCAGAAGGCAGCCGATCAATGACCCTCTCTCATCACTGATGTTTCTCTCTCTCTCTCCCTCTCCCTTCCTCTCTCTGAAATCAATAAAAACATATTATTAAAGATATATAAATATTAAAAAATAAAGTTTGCTCTTATATAAATTATATCTTACCTTTATTTTAATTCTTGGTCATTGTATCTTCCTTAGTTAAATATTGAACTTATTAAATGTGTCTTATTTTTTAGTAAATGTAATTTGGGCTCTAAATATGCTTTTTATCTACCATTTTAGCTGTACATCTCAAGTTTGATATTTAGAATTTTCACCATTAACTCCACCAGTAAAACACAAATTATGTAGAAGTGCATTTTGAGGTTTCCAAATATTTGTGGTATCTGTATTGTTAATTTAAAATTTATAACCACTGTGGTATAAAATAGTAAATCCTTGTGACATTGATTCTTTGAAAACCCTGACAGTTTTTATTGCTTTGTATATAGTCAGTTTTTGCCATGTTTATATTTATTTGAAAGTAATATATATTCTCTATTTCTTGGGTATAGGATTATTTACATATTTATTAGAGCAACCTGTTTAATTTTCTTATTCAGAGTTTTCACTTCTTTTTTTTTTTCAGCATTATCAATTTGTTTCTGAAAGCATCTTGCTAAGTTCCCCACTATGAACTTGAGTTTACAAACCTTTTCATTAGAATTCTCCAACTTTTTTTTTGGTTTCTAATTCTATATTGTGGCTATGTNGATTTACAAACCATTTCATTAGAATTCTCCGACTTTTTTTTTTTGTTTCTAATTCTATATTGTGGCTATGTTGTTACAGGTATACATATTAACGATTGTTACATCTTCTTTGTAGACTCTTAGCTTGATTATTAGATAGTCTCTCTTGATATGAATTCTTTTTGCCTTACATAAACATAAATACAAATATCGGCCTAGTATTTCTATTGTTGCATCAACTTATTATATATTAGCATAGGGTATGTTCTTCATTTTCATTATTCCAGCCTTTCTTGGTGATTGTGTTTTAGTTGCTCTTATAAACAATATATAGCTGTATTTTTATTTTTTTATTTTTATTTTTTATTTATTTTTTTATAGCTGCATTTTTAAGGGTTTCAAAAGATCAATATGA